TGCTCGAGCACCTCACCGGAGTTCCGGATGCGTGTTCTAGGTCTGACGACGGCGGCAAAAACAAGCGCCAGTACTGTCTTGAAGTGAGCTCTGTGCCTCAAACGTGCAGATGGCGTGCGAAGCAAGGTCAGCACAAGGGTAATCACCTTCCAAACCTGATACGGCCCTGCATCTCAGGAAGCTCCTTAAAATCATTCCCTTCAGGCTTTAGCTCTTACCTTCCGAGCTTTGTCTAGGGAGTTCTGACAGACATCAGCACGTGGCCCGGGAAAAGGCTCCGCCCGGGAGGCAGATGAAACTCGCATCCTACGTTTGCACGCTAAGGGCCTGGAAGCTAGTTTAGTGCCCATTTTTTCGGCGGAGGGGCACTATAGGCTGCAGGTTAGGGTGCGTAGGGTGCGGGTTTGTGGTGTGCAAGCTGCGAGTTCGGGGTTCGCAGGGTGTGCAGGGTGCGGCGCGGTGCGCACCCCGCACACTGCACCCGAACACCGCACCCGTACCTCACACCAAATGCTTCGACTGCCTACACCTGCACCCTTGCACCCTACCCCCTATACCAGTGCACCCGACACCCGCACAATGGAACCTCCATCTGACACCACGGCCCCGCACCTTATGTCTACGGCTCTGACATTTCCCATAGAGCACTATTCTTGAAGTTTGACAAGGTGATTACATTAAGGAAGCTGCTGGGATGGGACCAGAGACACATTTCTTGCACTTTCTGGTCCAAGCATTGTTACTTGCACACTTCTTATGTCCCCCCGCGCGCTATGAACAGGCCTGCCACCATACAGGCAACGAAGCCACACAGTAGCAGGGCGGAGTGCGGACAAAGGGATGAAGGCTGCACCTGACGAAATTGCACTGCTCACTCAGCCGTGCAAGAAGGCTGCTTCTCAAACCTGACAGGCCTGGGTGCTCTGCCATACTCTGGCGCTAAATGCGGTGAGGACTGACCTGAGACCCTTGGCACTGTCGGTCAGCCAGGTGCAAGAGCCTGCAGCCAGCACACAAGGCGCCAGCGGCGAAGGAAGTGCCTGTCGGACTACCGCTCCCTCGAAACAGCACTCTGTGTCTCTAGGGCACTTTGAACAGCGCGGAAGAGTCTCAAAATTTCTGAAAGCAGGGGCGATCGAAGCCTCGACGCTTTGCACACACACTTCACCGGAGTTCCGGACGCAGATGAAACACGCGGTCTGACGATGCTGCAAAGATGAGCTCCAGCCCTGTCTTGCAGTCCGCTCTGTGCCCCAAAGCAGCACATGGCGTGCTCCGCAAGGTCAGCACATCAGCAAATCGCGGCGATGCAGTTGCCATTGTCGCCCAGTGCGTGGCGCTCCCTCATGGATTAAGGGTAGGGGGGGCTGGAAAAAGCCCAAGGCATGTCTCGGCCCCCCCACCAAGTTCCAGCACAGACCTTGCACAGATGCCAGAGGCAGAGAACAACCTCAATGGCCGAAAGCGGGGTACTCCACCCCTTCTCGGTGTTTATGGCCGAGGGGTCTGCGCGACGATCACATGGCCCCAAACACGTCAATGTGCTGCGTGAAAGAAATGAGCAGGCTCTTAAGCAGGGGGCTTTGCATAGCGGATATCACGAACCTTGGGACGACCCAAACTATCTATACCTTGTAGTCCACAGGACATTCCACTGCCGTTGACCGCGACGTCTGTAATCGCCATCCAAAGCTGATGCAGCAGCTGATACGGCCCTGCATCTCAGGAAGCTCCTTGAAATCAATCCCTTCAGACTTCAGCTCTTGCCTTCCCAGCTTTGTCCAGGGAGTTCTGCCAGACATCTGCAGGTGGCCCGGCAAAAGGCTCCGCCCGGCAGGCAGATGAAACTCGCATCCTACGTTTGCACGCCATGGGTCTGAAAGCTAGGTTAGGCACATTTTTTCGGCGGAGGGCCATTATAGGTTGCAGGTCAGGGTGCGTATGGGTGCGGGTTTGTGGTGTGCAAGCTGCGAGTTCGGGGTCCGCAGGGTGTGCAGGGTGCGGCGCGGTGCGCTCGCCGCACACTGCACCCGAACACCGCACCCGTACCTCACACCAAATGCCACGCACCATTGCGACTGCCGACACTTGGACACCCGTGCCATGGAACCTACATCTGATACCATGGCCCCGCACCTGATTTCTACGGCTCCGACGTTCTTGAAGTTTGATAAGGTGATTACATTAAGGAAGCTGCTGGGATGGGACCAGAGAAATATTTGTTGCGCTTTCTGGTCTAAGCACTGTTTGCACTTGCCCACTTGTTATGGCTCCCTGCGGGCTATGAACAGGCTTGCCGCCTCACAGGCAACGAAGCCACACAGTAGCGGGGCGGAGTGCGGACAAAGGGATGAAGGCCGCACCTGACGAAATTGCACTGCTCGCTCAACCGTGCAAGGAGGCTGCTTCTCAAACAAGGCTCAGTAACCTGACAGGCCTGGGTGCTCTGCCATACCCTGGCGCTGGATGCGGTGAGGACTGACCTGGGGGCCTTGGCACTGTCGGTCAACCAGGCGCAAGAGCCCGCAGCAGCCAATGGAAACAAGGCGCCAGCGGCAAAGAAAGTCTCTATCGGACTACCCGCTCCCTCGAAACAGCTCTCCGGAGCACTCTGGCACTTTGAACAGCGCAGAAGAGTCTCACAATGTCGGAGACCAGAGGCGATCGAGGCCTCAACGCGTTGCTCACGCAGCTCACAGGAGTTCCGAATGCAGGTGAAAGACGCGGTCTGCCGACGGCTGCAAGAAGAAGCTCCAGCACCGTCTTGTGGTGTGCTCGGTGCCTCCAAGCTGCAAAGTTCACGGCGCTCGCCGCCAGGTCAGCACCAGGTCAGCACATCACCACGATACTCAGAGCAAAGCAGAGCGCCCTTGTCGCCGAGTGCGTGCTGATCACTGACTCCAAGACCCCCCGGCGCTGCTCTATCACTGGGAAGAGGCTCGCAGACCCGGCATCACAAGTGGAGGAGGGGAGGGCCGTGGAGGGCCTGGAACGCGAGCTGCCTTCAGATAAGCTGGTTCGGACCTTGTTCGGCAGGGCGAACTAGGGCATGTCTATGGCAGCCTGGTCCAACACATGCATGAAGAACGCCTGGCCTGGCCATAGTCGGCCTGCAACGACTGAGCCCTGGACTCTTCTCATGCTTTACGTGCTATGAACAAGCCTTCCGACTCACAGGCAACGAAGACGTAGCGGTGCGAGTGCGGACAAAGGGATGAAGGCCGGCTCAACAGACCTAACCCGGACGAAATTGCCCTGCTCATTCAGCTGTGCAAGAAGGCTGCTTCTCAGTGAAAACAGGGCTTAGTCGCCTGACAAACCTGGCCGGCCTGGGCGGCCTGCCATACCCTAGCCCTGGAAGCGGTAAGGACTGACCTGGGTGACCTGGGACACTTGGCATCAGTCAGCCAGGCGCTGCGAAACACCCGCAGGGTGCCGGGGGCCACGAAGAAGGCGTCTACCGGACTACCGCTTCCTCGAAACAGCACTCTGGGTCCCTCGGCTCTGTGAACAGCACAGAAGATTCTCAAAATTTCCGAGACCAGAGGCAATCGAAGCCTCAACGCCTTGCTCGAGCAAATCACAGGAGTTCCAGAGGCGCATAGCACACGCGGTCTGAGGACGGCTGCAACAGTAGGCTCCTGCCCCGTCTTGCAGTGCGCTCTCTGCCCCAATGCTGCAAAGTTCATGGCGTGCGCCGCAAGGTCAGCACACGGCCGGCACATCGCCGCCATGCTCAGAGCAGATCGCCTCCATGACGATCCCCTTGGATTAAGGGTAGGGGGGGTTGGAACAGGCCGAAGGCATTTCTCCACCGAGTTCCAGCAGAGACCCTGCACAGATGCCAGAGGCAGTGACAAGTCGTAATTGCTGAAGGAAGGTGCTCCATACCGGCTTCGGCATTTACAGCCGAGGGTTCTGCCTCACGCTCACATGCCCACAAACACCAGAGGGCTCCAAGCGGAGACGATCTATACTTGCCAGACATGTCGTAGTCCACATGACATTCCACTGCCGTCGACCGCGACGTCTGTAATCACCATCCAAAGCTGATGCAGCAGCTGATACGGCCCTGCATCTCAGGAAGCTCCTTAGAATCGACCCCTTCAGACCTGTGCTCCAACCTTGCCAGCTTTTTCTAGGGAGTTCTGCCAGACATCTGCACGTGGCCCAGCAAAAGGCTGCGCCCAGCAGGCAAATGAAACTCGCATCCTACGTTTTCATGCAATGGGCCTAAAAGCTAGGGTGAGGGCCCATTTTTTCGGTGGAGGGTCACAAAAGGTTGCAGGTTAGGGCGCGTAGGGTGCGGGCTTGTGGAGCGCAGGCTGCGAGTTCGTGGTTCACAGGGTGTGCAGGGTGCGGTGCGGTGCGCAATGCGCACCTTGCACCCGAACATCGCACCGGTACCTCACACCAAACACCACGCACCAGTGCGACTGCCTACACCTGCACCATTGCACCCCACCCCCTATACCAGTGCACCCGACACCCGCAGGATGGAACCTACATCTGACACCATGGCCCCGCACCTTATTTCTACGGCTCTGACATATCCCATAGCTCTTGCAAGGGTGGTTACATTAAGGAAGCTGCTGGGATGGGACCAGAGAAAAATTTGTTGCGCTTGCTGGTGCAAGAGTTGTTTGGACTTGCCCACTTGTTATGTCCCCCTGCGTGCTATGAACACAACGAAGCCACACAGTAGCGGGGCGGAGTGCAGACAAAGGGATGAAGGCTGTACCTGACGAAATTGTGCTCACTCAGCCGTGCAAGAAGGCTGCTTCTCAAACCTGACAGGCCTGGGTGCTCTGCCATACTCTGGCGCTGGATGCAGTGAGGACTGACCTGAAGGTGTTGGCATTGTGGGTCAGCCAGGTGCAAGAGCCTGCAGCAAGCGATGCACGCAAGGCGCGAGCGGCGAAGGAAGCTTCTGTCGGACTACCCTCGGAACAGCTGTCTGGAGCACTCTGGCACTTTGAACAGCACAGAAGATTCTCACAATGTCGGAGACCAGGGGCGATCGAGGCCTCAACGCTTTGCTCACGCACCTCACAGGAGTTCCGAATGCGCATGAAAGACGCGGACTGACGACGGCTGCAAGAAGAAGCTTCAGCGCCGTCTTGCGGTGTGCTCGGTGCCTCCAAGCTGCAAAGTTCACGGCGCTCGCCGCCAGGTCAGCACCAGGTCAGCACATCACCACGATACTCAGAGCAAAGCAGAGCGCCCTTGTCGCCGAGTGCGTGCTGATCACTGACTCCAAGACCCCCCGGCGCTGCTCTATCACTGGGAAGTGGCTCGCAGACCCGGCATCACAAGTGGAGGAGGGGAGGGCCGTGGAGGGCCTGGAACGCGAGCTGCCTTCAGATAAGCTGGTTCGGACCTTGTTCGGCAGGGCGAACTAGGGCATGTCTATGGCAGCCTGGTCCAACACATGCATGAAGAACGCCTGGCCTGGCCATAGTCGGCCTGCAACGACTGCGACCTGGACTCTTCTCATGCTTTACGTGCTATGAACAAGCCTTCCGACTCACAGGCAACGAAGACGTAGCGGTGCGAGTGCGGACAAAGGGATGAAGGCCGGCTCAACAGACCTAACCCGGACGAAATTGCCCTGCTCATTCAGCTGTGCAAGAAGGCTGCTTCTCAGTGAAAACAGGGCTTAGTCATAGTCGCCTGACAAACCTGGCCGGCCTGGGCGGCCTGCCATACCCTAGCCCTGGAAGCGGTAAGGACTGACCTGGGTGACCTGGGACACTTGGCATCAGTCAGCCAGGTGCTGCGCAAGAGGCCGCAGCAGCGAACACCCGCCGGGTGTCGGGGGCCACGAAGAAGGCGTCTACCAGACTACCGCTTCCTCGAAACAGCACACTGGGTCCCTCCGGCACTGTGAACAGCACAGAAGATTCTCAAAATTTCCGAGACCAGAGGCGATCGAAGCCTCAACGCCTTGCTCGAGCAAATCACAGGAGTTCCAGAGGCGCATAGCACACGCGGTCTGAGGACGGCTGCAACAGTAGGCTCCTCCCCCGTCTTGCCGTGCGCTCTGTGCCCCAAAGCTGCAAACTTCATGGCGTGCGCCGCAAGGTCAGCACAAGGTCGGCACATCGCCGCGATGCTCAGAGCAGAGCGCCTCCATGACGATCCTCCTTGGATTAAGGGCAAGGGGGGCCTGCACAGATTCCAGAGGCAGTGACAAGTCGTAATTGCTGAAGGAAGGTGCTCCATACCGGCTTCGGCATTTACAGCCGAGGGTTCTGCCTCACGCTCACATGCCCCCAAACACCAGGGGGCTGGCACTGCTATCACGAACCTTGAGACAATCTATACTTGCTAAAGATATCGTCGTCCACGTGACATGCCACTGCCGCTGACAGCGACGTGTGTAAGCGCCATCCAAAGCTGATGCAGCGGCAGACACTGCTCTGCATCTCAGGAAGCTCCGCAAAATCAATCCCTTCAGACTTCGGCTCCAACCTTCCCAGCTCTCCCAACAGAGTTCTGCCAGACATCTGCACGTGGTTTCGCAGAAGAGTCTGCCCGGCACACGGATGAAAGCAGCGTCCTACCTGTACATGCGAAGGGCTTGAAGGTTAGGTTAGGGCGGCTAGCTCGCTGGAGGGCCGCGCCACGCTCGGACTGCCCTTCTTCGGATGACTTCATTTGAACTCGCTAAGGCTGACACAGCGAACTACTGCATGTCCGCGGCAGCTACGCCCAGCACTACACTGTGCAACGGCGACTGAGAACTGGACTCCTCTTGTGTCCCCCTTGCGTGATACGAACAGGCCACCCCACTCAATCGGTGCTGACATAGCAGTGAGAACTCGCAAAGCCTTGCTCGCGAATCGAATGGGACAGCATTCCTCCTGTCCCATGCTTGCCTTGCACGAATGCCAATCCACATGAACGCCGCGCCAACCGACCCAGCCCTGAGGAAATGAAACTGCTCACTCAGCCGTGCAAGAAGGCTGCTTCTCAGCGACAACGGGGCACGGAGGCCTGACAGTCCTGGTGAGGCCTGACCTTGGGGCCCTGGCACAGCCAGGCGCAGTGCAAGAGGCCGCAGCAAACAACGCCCTCTTCTGGGTGCCGCTGGCCACGAAGAAAGTCTCTATCGGACTACCCGCTCCCTCAAAACAGCTCTCTGGAGCACTCTGGCACTTTGAACAGCGCTGAAAAGTCTCACGATGTCGGAGACCAGAGGCGAGCGAGGCCTCAACGCTTTGCTCACGCACCTCACTGGAGTTCCGAATGCAGATGAAAGACGCGGTCTGACGACGGCTGCAAGAAGAAGCTCCAGCGCCGTCTTGTGGTGTGCTCGGTGCCTCCAAGCTGCAAAGTTCACGGCGCTCGCAGCCAGGTCAGCACCAGGTCAGCACATCACCGCGATACTCAGAGCAAAGCAGAGCGCCCTTGTCGCCGAGTGCGTGCTGATTGACTCCAAGACCCCCCGGCGCTGCTCTATCACTGGGAAGAGGCTCGCAGACCCGGCATCACAAGTGGAGGAGGGGAGGGCCGTGGAGGGCCTGCAACGCGAGCTGCCTTCAGATAAGCTGGTTCGGACCTTGTTCGGCAGGGCGAACTAGGGCATGTCTATGGCAGCTTGGTCCAACACATGCATGAAGAACGCCTTGCCTGGCCATAGTCGGCCTGCAACGACTGAGACCTGGACTCTTCTCATGCTTTACGTGCTATGAACAAGCCTTCCGACTCACAGGCAACGAAGACGTAGCGGTGCGAGTGCGGACAAAGGGATGAAGGCCGGCTCAACAGACCTAACCCGGACGAAATTGCCCTGCTCACTCAGCTGTGCAAGAAGGCTGCTTCTCAGTGAAAACAGGGCTTAGTCGCCTGACAAACCTGGCCGGCCTGGGCGGCCTGCCATACCCTAGCCCTGGAAGCGGTAAGGACTGACCTGGGTGACCTGGGACACTTGGCATCAGTCAGCCAGGTGCTGCGCAAGAGGCCGCAGCAGCGAACACCCGCCGGGTGTCGGGGGCCACGAAGAAGGCGTCTACCGGACTACCGCTTCCTCGAAACAGCACACTGGGTCCCTCCGGCACTGTGAACAGCACAGAAGATTCTCAAAATTTCCGAGACCAGAGGCGATCGAAGCCTCAACGCCTTGCTCGAGCAAATCACAGGAGTTCCAGAGGCGCATAGCACACGCGGTCTGAGGACGGCTGCAACAGTAGGCTCCTGCCCCGTCTTGCCGTGCGCTCTGTGCCCCAAAGCTGCAAAGTTCATGGCGTGCGCCGCAAGGTCAGCACAAGGTCGGCACATCGCCGCGATGCTCAGAGCAGAGCGCCTCCATGACGATCCCCCTTGGATTAAGGGCAAGGGGGGCCTGCACAGATTCCAGAGGCAGTGACAAGTCGTAATTGCTGAAGGAAGGTGCTCCATACCGGCTTCGGCATTTACAGCCGAGGGTTCTGCCTCACGCTCACATGCCCCCAAACACCAGGGGGCTGGCACTGCTATCACGAACCTTGAGACAATCTATACTTGCTAAAGATATCGTCGTCCACGTGACATGCCACTGCCGCTGACAGCGACGTGTGTAAGCGCCATCCAAAGCTGATGCAGCGGCAGACACTGCTCTGCATCTCAGGAAGCTCCGCAAAATCAATCCCTTCAGACTTCGGCTCCAACCTTCCCAGCTCTCCCAACAGAGTTCTGCCAGACATCTGCACGTGGTTTCGCAGAAGAGTCTGCCCGGCACACGGATGAAAGCAGCGTCCTACCTGTACATGCGAAGGGCTTGAAGGTTAGGTTAGGGCGGCTAGCTCGCTGGAGGGCCGCGCCACGCTCGGACTGCCCTTCTTCGGATGACTTCATTTGAACTCGCTAAGGCTGACACAGCGAACTACTGCATGTCCGCGGCAGCTACGCCCAGCACTACACTGTGCAACGGCGACTGAGAACTGGACTCCTCTTGTGTCCCCCTTGCGTGATACGAACAGGCCACCCCACTCAATCGGTGCTGACATAGCAGTGAGAACTCGCAAAGCCTTGCTCGCGAATCGAACGGGACAGCATTCCTCCTGTCCCATGCTTGCCTTGCACGAATGCCAATCCACATGAACGCCGCGCCAACCGACCCAGCCCTGAGGAAATGAAACTGCTCACTCAGCCGTGCAAGAAGGCTGCTTCTCAGCGACAACGGGGCACGGAGGCCTGACAGTCCTGGTGAGGCCTGACCTTGGGGCCCTGGCACAGCCAGGCGCAGTGCAAGAGGCCGCAGCAAACAACGCCCTCTTCTGGGTGCCGCTGGCCACGAAGAAAGTCTCTATCGGACTACCCGCTCCCTCAAAACAGCTCTCTGGAGCACTCTGGCACTTTGAACAGCGCTGAAAAGTCTCACGATGTCGGAGACCAGAGGCGAGCGAGGCCTCAACGCTTTGCTCACGCACCTCACTGGAGTTCCGAATGCAGATGAAAGACGCGGTCTGACGACGGCTGCAAGAAGAAGCTCCAGCGCCGTCTTGTGGTGTGCTCGGTGCCTCCAAGCTGCAAAGTTCACGGCGCTCGCAGCCAGGTCAGCACCAGGTCAGCACATCACCGCGATACTCAGAGCAAAGCAGAGCGCCCTTGTCGCCGAGTGCGTGCTGATTGACTCCAAGACCCCCCGGCGCTGCTCTATCACTGGGAAGAGGCTCGCAGACCCGGCATCACAAGTGGAGGAGGGGAGGGCCGTGGAGGGCCTGCAACGCGAGCTGCCTTCAGATAAGCTGGTTCGGACCTTGTTCGGCAGGGCGAACTAGGGCATGTCTATGGCAGCCTGGTCCAACACATGCATGAAGAACGCCTGGCCTGGCCATAGTCGGCCTGCAACAACTGAGACCTGGACTCTTCTCATGCTTTACGTGCTATGAACAAGCCTTCCGACTCACAGGCAACGAAGACGTAGAACAGACCTAACCCGGACGAAATTGCCCTGCTCACTCAGCTGTGCAAGAAGGCTGCTTCTCAGTGAAAACAGGGCTTAGTCGCCTGACAAACCTGGCCGGCCTGGGCGGCCTGCCATACCCTAGCCCTGGAAGCGGTAAGGACTGACCTGGGTGACCTGGGACACTTGGCATCAGTCAGCCAGGTGCTGCGCAAGAGGCCGCAGCAGCGAACACCCGCCGGGTGTCGGGGGCCACGAAGAAGGCGTCTACCGGACTACCGCTTCCTCGAAACAGCACACTGGGTCCCTCCGGCACTGTGAACAGCACAGAAGATTCTCAAAATTTCCGAGACCAGAGGCGATCGAAGCCTCAACGCCTTGCTCGAGCAAATCACAGGAGTTCCAGAGGCGCATAGCACACGCGGTCTGAGGACGGCTGCAACAGTAGGCTCCTGCCCCGTCTTGCCGTGCGCTCTGTGCCCCAAAGCTGCAAACTTCATGGCGTGCGCCGCA